TTTTTTAAATTGCCTGTGGCACCTTTCTTACATCAACACCAGAAGAGTTGAGCTGAGTTTGAGGATGTTCTAGGATGGGAGGGGAGGAGGTTGTCTTAGCCAATCAGAACATGAAGACAGATTGAGACCGGTAGGATTATTGCACACACATCATATGGAATGGTCTGAAAGTGTTCTTGCTGGCTGAGGTCGCATTTTTACAGTTCTCCTGCTGGGACTGGCTAGGGACTGTCAGAGCACAGAATGGGAACTCGATGAGGATCATACCGTGCGATAAAATACTTTTCCGTTCCGTTCTCATCACGTTCTCATCATGTTCCGAGAACACAGTGCGATAAGCTTATTAGGTACAGTCTCTGACATCTGTTCAGTACAATTGCTGAATCTACTTCAAACTGCTAAACCGACTTAAGGTATCATAAAGACCTTTGTCACAGGTCAAAGAGTCTCACACGTTCACCTTCAGCCTTCTGTTTCATTGAAAAGAAAAGGAGGCTCAGACATTCTGTTCCACGTTACTGCCAAGTCCATCTTCTCTTTAAGAAAAAATGGCATTGTGTTTACATGTAAGTGTATTTGCAGAGAAATGACTGGATCTCAAAGGCACATATTTCATATAGCCCTCTGGAATGCTGGGCCTGAATATTGTTACACCTGTGAAGTCTAGCATACACTTATGAAAACAGCACACAGAGATAATGCACTTTGGAGTCCATTGTTTAGATCCTACATGTAGGCAAGTCAGGAGGTCTAAAACTGGGCACCCCCTCAAGAGGCATCAAACCCTAGACATCCAAAAAATACTTGCAAGTTTTCTTATCTCCGAAAAAATACACAACCCCCCCCCCATATTTTGACACATCAAAATATCCATTGAGAAATCCACTAAATGTTGCAATATTTTTCTGTACTTCAGGACTTTTTACCAACAACAACACATATATCTGAGTTCTCTACCATGGACTAGATATTAGGCTTTTGCTTCCACAAAAGTACAGATTATTTCTATTAGATTAGGTAGTAAAATAAATATATGGGGAGTTATTCTGTTTTGTTTGATTTACATTGCTGTTTTACAGATAATAGCTTTCTTGAATATCTGTGTATAAGCACATGCACAAATAATGCATCTGAGCTCAGTTCAGGAGGTCAGAACTTGTAAAATCTGCTAGTCCCTGGCCTTAATCAGCTCTGATAGTGACAGAGAGTGTGATAATCCATTTCTTTAAGGGGGCATCATTCTTTCAAAAAGCAACATTTTTAAAAAAATCTTGGTTCATAATCCAAACATTAATTACATTTCATTCTTCTATATTTAATTAATGAATCGTGGACTGGAAATAAAATGAGGCCACATTAATATTTCTTGGAGGTGTTATTATGATCTGCTAACCAGTCACAGAAGTAGCCTTAATATTATTAATCAAACCAAACATCCATATATACCAGATGGAAGTTATCACTGATCCTTAGAGGATTATAATTTATAATTAATCTATGGCAATTAATAGAATTTGAAGACCCCAAATGAACTTGCCAAGTAACTTTATTCATGCATATACATAAATGGCAAAGAGCTTACTTTTGTTATATTGGTACATATAATGTAAGAATTAAGAGACAATCCCCTTACCTTCTGCTGTGTGATCATGAGCCAATAATGTTCAAGGTCCTGGGCCTGGATGGGTAAATTTTAGTTTCGCCCACATTCACCTTTTATTAAATCTTCATTTTCCCCCTATCCCAAACATAAAGAATTGTATTAATTTTTGTTAAGTGTTAGTTTCTCCCACATTCATGTTTTTTAACATCTTCATTTTTCCCTGTCTCAAATATAAAGAATTTTATGCCTTTTCATAAAGTTTAAGCTTCTCCCACATTCACATTTTTAAAAACCTCATTTTCTCCCTGTCTCAAATATAAATGATCGTATGAATTTTCATAAGGTTTTAGTTTCTTCCCCATTAATTGTTTTGCTGCTGTGTGCCTTCAAGTCATTTCTGACTTATAGTGATCCTGAGGCAAACTTATTACGGCATTTTATAGGGCTAAGAGAGACTGACTTTCCCAAGGTGGGTTTTCATGGCCGAACAGGGAATCGAACCCTGGTCTCCAGAGTCATATAGTCCAACACACAACCGCTATGCCATGCTGGCTCTCTTATTCACATTTTTTAAAAAAATCATCATTTTTCCTGCCTAAATATAAATAATTTAATTAATTTTCATAAACTTGTTAAAATAAACCATACCACAACAAAATTCTCAACTATCTTTAGGTAGGGGAAAACTAGAGTTCCTCCCATGCAAACTAATATGACATAGCCCACCTCCACTGAAACCATGTCACAGAAATTCATGGGATACATAACTAGTATCTGTATTGGATGCTATGTACATAAAAGTGCTGGAGAGCTAACTTATTTATGACAACCTATTAGTATAGGGTGCCTTGGGGGAAAAACAGAAATGTATTCCTTTTCCTTTTATGCATAACCACTATGGTATTTTAACTGAAAACATTTATTAGTCATATTTAGGTGCAGACAGTAAACCTACACAACTTAAGAGCAAGTTTGCTTTGTGTCATGCACCACAGATGTTAGTCCTGGAGACAAGACGCTGCTTTAAACTTTGGGCCCTTTCACACCACACATTTATAGCACTATTATTCCACTTTAACTCTTATGTCTGCATCCTGTAGAATCCTGGGGCTTGTAGTCTGGTGCGGCACTAGAGCTCTCTGGCTAAGAATTCTAATTAGACCCCCCTAAACTACAAATAGGGTGGGATTGTGGGATATGGAATGCATATTTTAATGTTGTAAGTCACCCTGGTTGTGTTACGCAGAGGTGTGGGATAAAAAGTATTTATTATTATTATTATTATTATTATTATTATTATTATTATTATTATATCCCGGAATTCCATAGGATGTTGCTGTGGCAGTTGAAAGTGAGATCATATTGCTATAATTCTGTAGTGTGAAAAGGGTCTAAGAAAGTGTTGGGCCGTCTAGCTCAACATGGTCTTGACTGGCAGTGGCTCTACTGGAAAGGTGGAAATCACACAGCCCTTTGGATGTTGCTGGACTGCAAGTCCCAGCAGCTCTAGCCAGCAGTAAGGAATGCTGGGAGCTGCAATCCAACAACATCTGCAGGTGCACAGGATTGCCACTCCTGTCCTTGCCTGAAAATGGCAGGGATTGAACTTGGGGCTTTACACCAAAGAGGTGATGTGCCACTTGATAAAGCCTGGGCCCTTCCATTGCAACTAGGCTGACAACCATTATCCAGAGCAGATTTTCTTCAGCTGCCCCCAAATTTTGTAATTATCAACAGAGAGGATTTGGCAGCTGGACATGTTTTCTGAGTTTAAAACAGCAGTGAAGACCAGTCTTCTGGGCAGGACTACCCAAGCGGTTTTTAAATCAGTGGCTGGTGGTGAGCAAACAGAATTGAAAACAAATCTGGCTATATCCCTGTAGCCAGACACAGAATGAGATCTGCTGAGATCTGTCAGGGTCCTCCATAAATCTCAGTGGATTTATAATCATTCTGCATCTGGCTATGGGGACAGTCAGCTGCTTTCCAAGTCTACCACCAGCCACAAAATGGCCACATAGATGTCGTGGTTACATGGTGAGTCTGGGAGGGTGGCTCTGGTCATTGCAAAGTGTGGAAGAGAATACCAACCTCCAAAAATGACCAAAAAAAAAAAAAAGACATACATTGGCATAAAGTGGATGCCATCCTCAGTGTGTAACTCTGTGGGCTAAGATTTGCACTATCAAATTCCAGTGTAAAATCTCAGGATGTTTCTGCATCCTTTGCCATTGTTGCATGACCTGGAAAAAAGTGCAACTTCTGGCACAGTAGATCAACTGCATTCTGGTTTTAGTCTCAGAGTAGTTGTGGACTAAAGACCACGAGAAGGTATATTCACTCAGCAGTGCAGCTGTATGTTTATATTAGAGAATACACAAGGCTTTTTTGTTTTCCACAGTAGATTGTTGTGATGCACCATTACAAGAATGTAAAACAGAATTGAGCCCTTGGGCTCTTGGGTAGTACCACCTGGGCTGGACTAGAATCACTACTAAATGGTAGAGGAAATCCTCAAAATAATACTTCATGATTAAGTGCACGCCACATAGGATTTCAGTGTTTGCAAATCCTTTTTTTCAAATCAACTTGTGGCATTAATCCTCTAATGGCATTATTCCCTTAGAATATATGCCAGATTAAGGAGTCATGATGAGGCAAAGTACCAAAATCCACACTAATCTCTGAATGGAGGATGCTGCGTGGGACGCAGCTAATGAGGTTGTCCCCAGAAAGGGTCGGTCCCTTTTCTGGCCACCCACTCCCTTCTCCTTCTGGTGACAAATAGGAGAGAATATGTTTGCCAATGGTGTATACACAAGGAACTCTCAAACACGTCTGTTAGACTTGGAATCCACCTTTCCAGACATCAGTCATTAGTTACCTGTTCAATCATTAGCTGCTTGATCACTTCAGTTGTCAGGGCTCTGTGTTCTTTATGAATGCCAAGAGGCTTCTGAAACTTTCCTCCTCCTCATGCAATCAGAAGCCAACTTCCCTACAAGTCATACAAGAAAGCACAGAAAGTGATCCTAGTTACAGACTTCAGTGCCAGAAAAACTGTCCAAAAGAACAGAAAATAGTCATAAGTATTCTCTTTCAGACATTGTTCTTATTAAAACATGCCTGGTCAACCATTTACATCCAGTTTTGTGCTTCTTTGGTAGGAATGTAGTAGCAAAGCTTTGAAACATGATTTCTGAAAACTATTACGCCAAGAAACTTCCAACCAGCATAGTGACTGGGCAATGGCCAGATGGGCTGAAGGATTCTAGGAGTTGCAGTCCAAAATAATTATTTTTTTCCAAGCTCAACTCTTTAGAACAAGCAATGAATGAACTATAGTTGAATTATTCTCCAGCCAACATGGAATTTGGAAAATGGCAGTTGCACTCAAATGCATTCTAAGGCATCAGGTGGGTTTGTTGTTCTTGTGTGCCTTCAAGTTGTTTCCAATTTATGGCAGTCCTAAGGCACACCTATCATGGGGTTTCCTGGGGCTGAGAGTCTATATCATGTCCAAGATCACCCAGTGGGTTTCCATAGCCAAGTGGAGAACTGAACCCTGATCTCCAGATCACAGCCCAATCCCTACACCATGCAGGTGGGTACCATTAGTTTATTTCACTGATGGGCAGTGGCTCTAAAGCAGGGGTAGGCAACCTAAGGCCGCCACTGCCATGATGATATTGATTATTGTTGTTATTACTTGTTCTTGGGGTTTTCTTGGCAAAATCTCCACAGGGTTTTTGCCATGGCTTTTCTGGGGCTGAGAGAGTGTGCATGCATATTTTTAAAATTTTTAATTTTTTTTTAAAAAATATTTTTATTTTTATTTATTTATTTATTTATTTATTTTTGGTGCTTCGGCCCCCCAATTGTCTGAGGGACAGCAACCCGGCCCCCGGCTCAAAAAGGTTGCCTACCTCTGCTCTAAAGGGTTTCAGTCAGAATACTTTCCCAGCCCTATGTGATACAGATTGAAGATGAGACCTTTTGCATGACATGTCGTATCACTGCACCTCTCACTTGTTAAATATTGCATTTTAAAATCCAGTGTCTGCTAGTAAAATTGGTAAATCCTCATTTCCATGGTAATTTCACACAAGATGATGCTAATCAGATAAACAGAAGCCTCTGGAGTGTTCCAAAGTTATTATTTTATTGTGCAGTTTATTGTGCAGAATCTATTTATTTATTTATAAAAGTCCCACAAGTTTATATGGCATTGTACAAAAACAATACAATAAAACAGACAGACAACCCTGCCAAACGTGTATGTATAATTTTAAAGAAAAAATATATATAAAGGAAGAGGTTCATATAAATAGAAAAACCTAATAAAATACAATAAACATCCAGTAAATAATCCTATAATAAAATAATCCAATAATCCAATAATAAAATATAAAATAATAAAATAAAATAATCCAGTAATAATCCAATAATAAAATACAATGATGAAGACAAGCTCCACCAAATAATCTCAGCATACAAAAGTAAAATTAACCTGAAATTCGGAAAGCCTTAGAAAAGAGTATTGGAAGGAATGGTCCACAAATATTCAAATACTATAGGGTATGCAAATGAGGTCACTTCCAATTACTTTTCTACTTTTTTCTTAACAGAAAACAAACAAATGGACTTGCAAAAAGACTTGCCCAAGGTCACCCAGTGGATGAGCAGGAATTCAAACCCTGGTTTCCAGGGTCATAGTCCAATGCTCAAACCACTATGCCACACTGGCTTTCTCATAAGACTTTATAACTAATTCAGCTGCATCGTATAAAACTGTGCCCTTCTGAGGTCTGCACCCTAGGAACCTGCCTAGTTGGCCTAATGAAAACACCAGCCCTGGAGGGAAGATTTATCATACTTTTGGCATTATGCTATGTTTCTCAGTGAAATAATTCAATCTAATGTTTAGGAAAAGGAGATGCTGTGAAATGCACGGTGCATTTTGATTGCAACTAGCAAGAACTCTCCATCTGGAAACACCCTTCATGAATCCTAGGTCTGGGAAATGTGTATAGGATTGAAAATAAGTACAATTCAACCAACTCTGATTGTAGTTCAATTAGCTATTCTGGTGGTTTATGAGAAACTGAGCCCACTCTGGAGGTTTGCAAACCAAATATAGCATGTCTCCTGTGTGTTATCAGATCTGTTGCTATACCATAACTATGTATGCTGCCAGAGATAAGTTTTTCTTGTGTTTTGTGTCCACACCCTTTTTATATTTACAGAATGATGTGTTCACCCAGCATTACCTGTATTTTAACTAATGTGCTGTGCACTCACTCTGACATCAGTCCTTCACAGCTTTTTTGCTCTATTCTAAAACTCTCACCAATGATTTTATGTGTTGTTTCTTGGCTGTTGTTTCTTCTGTCTCCTTGCAATAGAATGCAATAGTGACTGTTCACATAGATCATGTGAGTCTTTGCTCAGTGATTCTCATTTTTTCCCCCTATTACTTTCAAAGACAGAGTTACTACTGTTTTACTGCTAGGCAATTCTGAATTCTCCTTGAACCTGGCCGACCCACAATGC